AGACAGACAGTATGCTATTGCTCGGTGCATCTCTTGGATCTGACGAGAAAGAACTGTTCCTGCCCAATCTATCCAGAGCCTGTTGGGACACATGTCTGCATCCATTGCCGTGGTTCCGCATGCCAAACTCAGGCAACGCCCTCTCCAGTTATTCTTCAATGGGATGTTCCGACCACAGAGAGATCCACCTACCAAATGGATTCGACTCCTGGCCTCCGTTCTTCAGTCCCTGTTAGGGTGGATAGAACCAGCCAATTTAAATGTCGGTGTCCTGTTTCGACCTCGGTACCCTACAGTGACTCTCAGTACCAACGCGTCTCTTCTCGGATGGGGAGCCATTTGCTCCGACCTACGTACCCAAGGGGTGTGGAGTCCCCAGGATTCCAGGAACCACATCAACTTCCTGGAACTTCTTGCTATTTTCAAAGCCCGGCAATCGTTCGAGGACGTACTTCTTCACCAGGTTGTCCAGGTGACCTCGGACAACATGGCTACGGTCTTTTATTTGAACAAACAAGGGGGAACCCAGTCCCCGAAACTAGCCCGCCTGTTGATGCAAATTTGGGACTGGTGCATACCGAGAGGTATCACTCTTCTAGCAGTACATCTTGCAGGCACAGACAATGTAGAAGCAAATCTCTTGAGCAGACGTATGTCGCGATCACATGAATGGGAACTAGACCGTCGGGTTCACGACAGGCTGTTTCACCTCTGGGGTCCACCAGACATAGACCTGTTTGCCACACAACAGAACAGGGTGTGCATGAACTATTGTTCCAGAGCAGGGATAGGACAGGGGTCGTCTGGGGACGCCTTCATGATCCCCTGGAACGACATGGCCTTTTACACTTTCCCACCGATCCCTCTCATCATGAGAGTGTTGGCAAAGATTATTCACGAAGGGGCCACAGGGCTACTAATAACCCCCTGGTGGCCACGCCAACCATGGTTCTCAACTCTCCTTCACATCTCTTGGGAGGATTTTCTCCAACTCCCTCTTCTTCCTTATCTCATTACCCAGAGGGAAGGCACGATCCGACACCCAGACTTGTCACTGAAACTGACTGCCTGGAGGATCCGATAACCGTATGTGCTGCACCAGTGTCGACGCCACCGGCAATCCCTACTACCTCTACTTCACAAACTTTACATCCAGATCTGCAATATATTCTCGAATCTGCATTAAGGCCATCCACTAGAAAATCGAAATGGCGTAGATTCTCTAGCTTTGCAGAGTCTCACTCGTTTCCGGCGTCCTCGACGTCCGTTCAGCAGATTCTTCAGTTCCTCTTCGAATTGCACCAGTCTGGACTTAAACCTTATTCCATAAAAAGAATATACAGCAGCGATTTCTTACTACTGTGGAATGTACATGGTTTCTCCATTTTTTCGCAACCTTTGATTAAAAGATTTTTGAGAGGATTGGGTAACCTCCATCCAACAATAAGGCCCCTGATGTCCACTTGGAGTCTTTCAGTAGTTTTACAAGCACTGACTCAGCCACCTTTCGAACCCATGGCGACAATTGATCTACGCCTTATCTCATGGAAGACTGCTTTCCTCGTAGCAGTTACTTCAGCCCGTAGATCTTCTGAGCTTTGTGCCCTTAGTGCAGATTCCCCTTTTCTGAATTTTCATAAGGAAAAGGTAGTTCTACAGCTGGATCTGTCCTTTCTTCCTAAGATCGCTACTTCGTTTCACATGCAGCAAGAGATCGTTTTACCAGCCTTCTTTCCAACTCCTTCGAATCCAATAGAGAGATCTCTGCATATGCTGGATGTTCATCATTGCTTAGCCTTTTATAGGTCCAGGGCAGAGTCTGTTCGACACTCCAATAGACTTTTTGTAAAATACTCGGAACACGACTGGGGCTATCTGGTCACTTTCCAACGACTTTCCAAATGGATAGTAAAAATAATTGCTCTGTCTTACCAGTTGGCTAAATTGGACTTACCATCTACTCCAAGAGGTCATTCTACAAGGGCTGTTGCTACTTCTTCGGCCTTTGCATCGGGAGTCCCGATGGAAGACATCTGCAGAGCTGCCACTTGGGCTACCCCATGTACCTTCGCCAGACACTATAGACTTGATGTCCATGCCAGACAAGATTGCTCTTTTGGCAGGGCTGTTCTTTCTTCTGTTCTTCGTTGATGACACCTCCCTCCTCCAGTTTGGGTAAGCTTGTTATTCTACCCATATGTGTGATGCAACCTGCTCTTCTCCTTTCTTCCGCAACTCCCTCAAGCCACCCCATGTGCAATTCCAGAGGGTCTCCCAAACCTCTGGAACAGAAGATGAGGACTGCAGAAGGAACCAAAATAAGTGAAATCATGCATCACCCACCTTGCCCTCTTGTTAGTGGAGGAGCACCATCTCCATTTCTGTATGACTCTGCAGAACCTCCCCAGTTAGTTATTCAAACAGAGACTGGGTTATAAACACATATAGTGGGACATCATCTTAATCATATCACTTTCATTGCCTAATGTAAATTACTATTGTTTTAATTGCTATTTATTTCTAGCAATTTAATTCATAAGCAGCCGGAGAACAGACTGGCAACCACTGAGTACCTTCAGAAATCTTCACACATCACAGTCTGCTCTCATATCCCTCTAAACATGAACTGTATTAGAATCCAGTGCTCTGGATGGTATAAATTGTTCATTCTTTCAGCCCTGTTTCAGCATTTGGTTGTGGTAAACTGCACTCTCTAGTTCAGGATAGTCTACAGTGTTAATAGTGGGTTACATTTCAGAGTTGTCATGTGCTTTACACAAGCAATTTGCCCACACTTATTACTCCCATGCAAACAGATAGAAATCTTCCATGCAAATCCTCCAATATTGCAACAGTTTTAACATAAATAGCAGGTGCTCCCAGACAAGGCTTTTATTGTAGAATCGCACTGTGTAATTCATTGAGTTCCACAGGAGCTTCAGATGCCAACATCTTTAATTATTATTTGTGGTCTCTGTGCATCACACATGTAGGCTGTGCGCACATGTGTGGCGCTGTTTCAGGAAGATTCCAAGGCTGATTATTATTCGGTGGTCAGCCCATAGGTATGCCTAGCATGAGGAAGGGGCTTCTGCCAATATTTCAGGTCTTCTTCGAGCGCCATTGTGAGTGCATCGGGAAGTTCCTCCACCATGTTTTCTGACTGAATGCCTTCCATCTTCCCCCTGCCCCTTCAGTATCAGGAAAATATCTGTTAAGGAAGAGGAGATGGATTAGCTGTGCAGTGTTTTTGGACTGTTAGTCCTAGGAGTTCTCCATCTGGATGCTTCAGGTTTGTTGCTTTCAAGGAGCCAGTGTCAGTGGCTGGCTCGCCAGAAGGTTCTAACTGGCTCATGTCTTCAGTAGGTGTGAGGTCAGGGGAAGCAGACTGCAACACAACATGCACTGTTTGTTCTGGGTCACATTCAGGAGCTTGGACAACATATCACGGGAAGTGGTGGCTGGAGTATTCTCCCATAAGAAACTGTTATCACAGCAAAGAACTGGGGTCAGCTGATGCTTTAAGACGACTGGCATAGCCTGGCTTTTTAGCCGCACTGCTTCTGCTGAGTGCTGACTTAAAGGACCAGGAGTGTCTCTTTATGTATTTTCATGCTCTTACATGGTCCATAGACAGGAGATGCTGCAAGGGAATGATCTGCCAAGTCAGAAGTTGATGGAAAAACCACATCCTCAGGCTGAGAAGATAGAGCAGGGAGTGCTAAGTTCTTGCCATGAAGAGGGGCTACCAGCCAACTATCTGAATTCAAGTTCTCCTTGGGAAAATGTGCAGCTTCAGAACTGGGGGACAGGAAAGAGCAGGCAGGCACATATACACATCCACCAAGTTTGACTGGCTTCTGTTCCTATCTCCACATGAAGTTGGAACCCTTGAGAATGTGCTTCTTTCCAGTCATCACTCATTCAGTTTCCTTCTACCTGCCAACCCTAAAGGAAAGCAAAAAGCAAAGTATGCACAACAAACACTCGGCCAATTCACAGAGAGAGAGAGAGAGAGAGAGAGAGAGAGAGAGAGAGAG